CGACGTCAGGCCCCATAAGGAACTTAGGAGGGAGCCCCCAGAGGTGAACTTACTCCATTGCAGGGCAGCTGGGGCATTGGTCAAGGTCAGATAAAGCCACATATGTGCCTGCCTCAGCAGACACATGGCACCCAGTAGGCTCTCAGTAAACCACTTCGAGTCGTGCATAAGCGGCACGGCCCTTCTCTGCCCTGGTCCACCCCTGTCTTGCAAGCCCAGCACCCACTACTCCCCAGCAGAACCCTGTTGGAAAGTTAGGCCATCTGTAGCTCTCACTCCTCCTGCACCCAGCCCCCATTTCCTACCTGGTCCACGCAGTCCAGCCCAGCATCCCGGAAGCAATAGCTGCAGTGGAGGCCAAGCTACCCGCCAGCACAAAGGTGGGGCCCTCCGGCAGCTCTCCTGGGAGGGAGGTGGAGGCAGCTGGGTTGGCCTCCCTTTAGGCAGGGACCAGGGCGGACATGGCTGCCTTGGGTGCCCTTCCTGCTCTCGGCAGAGGCCGGGCAGAGCCGTCCCTGCTCCCACTGGCCAGCCCCCTAGCACGGTACACCCTCCCAGAGCAGAAGTGCCATCACCTTCTGGAAATGCAAGGGCCTGCTCACCTGGGGGCACCAGCGTGAGGGCACCATGCTGGATATTGATGCCATTTTCAGCCTGGCACTGGAACCAGTCTGATGTCTGGGCTGGCAGGAAGGAGAAGTTGGCAGGCTGCCCGTGGGGTGGTCTCTGCTGCATGTAGATGCGCCCGTCCTTCCCGACCAGGCTATAGGTGATGGGTGGGCTCCCCGAGGATGCCTGGCAGGATATCTCGACCCTGGGGCCTGACCCTCTGTCCTGCAGGGCGAAGTTAGTCTGCAGCTGGGACAGTGGCTCTGGCAAGGTGGGAGAGGGAAGCATGGGCATGGATGGGAGGTTTTAACACCCTCCTTCTCTTCATTATAAAGTGCTTAATCGCAGCACTTTGGGAGCCTGAGGCGAGTGAATTGCCTGAGCCCGCGGGTTTGAGAGCAGCCTGGGCAACTTGGAGAGACCTTACCTCTACAATAAATCAAAAATTAGCCTGGTGCGGTAACGCACATCTGTAGTTCTGGCTACTTGGAAGGCTGAGATGGAAGGATCGCTGGAGCCCAGCAGGTTGACACTAGGGTAACCATAAGTGTGCCACTGCACTCCAGCCTGGGCGACAGAGTGAGACTCCAACTCAAAAAAAAAAAAAAACCAAACAAACAAAAACAAAAAAAATGCCTAATGAGCCTGAAGCTTAGCTGTGAATGCCACCTCCTCCAGGCAGCCTTCTGAAGTTCCCCTTCCACCTTGTGTCTGGGCTTCTAGCCTACCTGCAGTGTGTACCATGCGATTTCATATTTGGTTTTATCCCTGTGTAGCATATTTCAGGTTCTCAGACTTAACAAATTAAGGTACAGTTTGATTTGAATTTCAGATAAACAATGAATTATTTTTGTAGTATAAGTATGTTCTATGCAAAATTTATCTGATAACCCTAATTATATTTTTTCAACCTCCTCTCTTTTACTGAAAGGCAAGCTCCCTCGGGACAAGAACTGTCACTTAGAAGATTCTAGAATCCCCCAGGCATTGAGCCTGATGCTCTAAGCATTCTTAGTCACTAGTAACAACCACTACCCTTTGTTTTATACTTGCTACCTACTAAAAGTTTTCACTTAATCCTTTCTATATCCCTGATAGGTATTATTATTTGGGGATGGGGGAGTTGGAGTCTCATTCTGTCACCCAGGCTGGAGTGCAGTGGCATACTCACGGCCACCCCAGCATCGACCTGCTGGGCTCTGGCGATCCTTCTGCCGCAGCCTCTCAAGTAGCTGGGACTACAGCTGTGTGCCACCATGCCCAGCTAATTTCTAAAATTTTCTGTAGAGAAGAGGTTTGGCTATGTTGCCTAGACTGGTCTCAAACTCCTGGGCTCAAGGAATCCTCCTACCTCGGTCTCCCAAAGTGCTGGAATTACAGATCTTATTTTCATCGTCTTTTTTTTTTTTTTTTTGAGTTAGAGTCTCATTCTGTCATCCAGGCTAGAGTGCGAGTGGCACACTCACAGCCACCCCAGTGTTGACCTGCTGGACTCCGGCGATCCTTCCACCTCAGCCTTCCAAGTAGCTGGAACTACAAGTGCGTGCTACCACTCCCGGCTAAATTTTTATTTTATTGTAGAGATGAGGTCTTGTCAAGATCCCTGGGCTGGTCTCGAAACCATAGGCTCAGGCAGTCCACTCACCTGGGCCTCCCGAAGTGCTGGGATTACAGGCTGAGCCACCTAGCCCGGCTTTACTTTTATCTTTATTTGTAGATGAAGCAATTGAGGTCCAGAGGTTAAGTGACTTGCCCAAGACCCCACAGTCACTGGGCTGTTGGGCTGAACACCCTGGAATATCCTCCCCAAGGCCGTCCTCCTGTGTCCTTAGGGTGTGGGGCAAAGAATGGATGGACAGGCGTCATAGTCCCACCATAGACCAGGCAACACTTCCTGGTTCCCACACCCCCATGGCTCCCACCAAGGTTACCTGAATTAAGATCAGGATGGAAACGGGAAGGAGGAGGCAGCGTTTGGCACTGGACAGAGGTGAGCTTGAAGCCAGCCTTGGCCACTTGCCAGTCGCGTGGCCTGGGGCAGCTTTCTTTTTTTTTTTTTTTTTTAAGTTGGAGTCTCACTCTGTCGCCCAGACTGAAGTGCAGTGGCCACTCCCGGTCACCGCAGCCTCGACCTGCTGGGCTCCGGCGATTCTTCCGCCTCAGCCTTCCAAGTAGCTGGAACTACAGGCGCACGCTACCACGCCTGGCTGATTTTTTGCTTTATTGTAGAGATGAGGTCTCGCCAAGTTGCCCAGGCGGGTCTCGAACCCTCAGGCTCAGGCAATCCACTCACCTCGGCCTCCCAAAGCGTGGGATTACAGGCTGAGCCACCGAGCCCGGCTCAGGCAACTTTCTTAACGTCTCAAAGCCTCAGCTTCCACATCTACAGAAACAGAACCTCCAACCCCACCTCCACACTGCTGTGAAGATCGATCAACGGAGATAATGCACAAAATGCGCCAGTTTATCAGCTTGAGGTCTGAGCTGACAAGTCCAGGTTCAGGATGGTCACTTCTGCCCTCAGGCCCCTTCCAGGAGACTGTGCCTGGGGCCCAGGGGCCCTATGATCAGGGCCCAGGGGACTGAGAGTGGCCTTGGGGGTGGCAGCCTATCCTTATCTCCACCCTGGTGCCCTGGCCCTTGCTAACCCAGACCCCCGGGGTCTGCCTCCCACCTGCCCTCCCAGCCCTGCACCACCACCCCCTGCACTCACTAGCCCACAGCTCCCAATACATCTGCAGCCTGGCGCTGACCGCGTGGGTGCCCACGGTGGAGGCCGCCTGGCAGGCGTAGGTGAGCAGGTCTGGCCTGGACTTGAGTGTGACATTGATGCTGAAGAAGGCTGGATTGTGGGTTTTCACCATCTTCTTGGCCACCTCGATGTCCCGGCTTCCCCAGAGGGTATAGGTGATGGGTGGGGGCGTCTGGGGTGCATGGCAGGTTATAAGGACCCGGCGGCCTCTGGGGAAAACTTCCAGGACCTTGTAGGCAATGGAGACTTCAGGGGTGATTTCTGGGAGGTGAAATGGTCAGAGAAGGAAGAAAGAAACCAATATTTATCAGATATCTTAAGAAAATACCGGTTTGGCAGTTAGACGGAGAATTACCATATGACCCCACAATTCCACTCCTAGATATCTACCTAAAGAACTGAAAACAGGGACTCGTTTTCAGACGCCTGGACACACGTGTTTGCAGCCGCATTAGTTACCGCAGCCACAGGGGGAGTCAGTCCAGTGTCTAGCAGCAGATGGATGGATAAACAAAATGTGACTGAACAGGCAAAGGAATATTATTCAGCCTTAAAAAGAGATGAAGTACAGACATGTGCTATAGCCGGGTGAGTCCTAACAACATTACGCTAAGTGAGAGAAGTCAGACACAAAAGGCAACTGTTGTAAGAACCTATTTGCATGAAAATGTCCAGAATAGAAAAATCCAGAGACAGAAAGCACACTGGTGGTCAGTAGGGCCTGGGTCAGGGGAAATGGAGAGTTACTGCCTAATGGGTATGGGGTTTCCTTCTGGGTGATGAAAATGTTTAGGAACCAGATAGAAGTGGTGGTTGCACAACATTTTTTTTTATTCGGAGTGTCACTCTGTCGCCCAGGCTGGAGGGCAGTGGCAGGCTCACGGCCACCACAGTCTCGACCTGCTGTGCTCAGGCGATCCTTCTGCCTTAGCCTTCCAAGTAGCTGGAACTACAGGTACGCGCCACCACACTTGGCTAAATTTTTGATTTATGGTAGAGATGAGGTCTCGCCAAATTGCCCAGGCTGGTCTCAAACCCATGGGCTCAGGCAGTCCTCTCTCCTCAGCCTCCCAAAGTGCTGGGATTATAGGCATAAGCCACCACACCTGGCTGCATTGTTACTGCATTAAATGCTACTGAAATACCGCTTTCAAATGGTGAACTTTTTGTTATGTGAATTTCACTTGAAAAAAAGATTAGGAAAATGCTAGGAAAAAAGCCTTCCTCCTGGGTTTAGGCTCTTCTGCCCAGAATATTTTACTGTAAAAAATGTGGCTGAGTGCGGTGGTTTATGCATGTAATCCCCACTTTGGGAGGCCGAGGCAAGAGGATCGCTGGACACCAGGAGTTCAAGACTAACCTTAGTAGAGACTCTGTCTCTACTAAACAAATATATAAATAAAATAAAACAATTAGCCAGTCATGGTGGTGCACACCTATAGTCCTAGTCACTCAAGGGGATTGAGGCAGAAAGTCTGCTTGAGCCAACTAGTTCAAGACTTCAGTGAGATATGATCACACCACTTCACTCCAGCCTGGGCGACAGAGAGAAAGACCCCATCTCTTAAAAAACAGGAAAACAAAAAACAGTCAAGTACAGTGGCTCATACTTGTAATCTCAGCACTTTGGGAGGCCGAGGCAGGAGGATTGCTTTAGTTCAGGCGTTCAAGACCAGCCTAAGCAACATAGCAAGACCCTGTCTCTACAAAAAAAATTTAAAAAGTTAGCCTGGTGTGCTGGCATACTCCTGTAGTCCCAGCTACTTGGGAGGCTGAGGCAGGAGGATCACTTGAGCTCAGGAGTTTCGAGGCTGCGGTGAGCCATGATTGTGCCACTGTGCTCCAGCCTGGGCAACAGAGTGAGACCCCGACTCAAACAAACACAAAATAAAAACCCAACAACAACGAAAGGCGATTTAGATCTGAGTAGTTTGGAACACAGGCTAGGAGGGCTGAGATGCTGGATTCAATTTTGGGACTCAACAGCTTTGTTGTCTGTAAGCTGCCAGGGGCAGACACCGTGTCCCTCTCCCACATCACTGCGTCTCTGACCCGTGGTAGGACCAGAAATTTGCCATTTCTTGGCCAAATGACTCATGTAAATTAAAAGGCAGTTACTCTCAAGTTGCACGCCAAAGTGTGGCTTGTGCCCCAGCTCCAGGGACCTAAGACGCATGCTTTGAGTGACGCAGCCCAGGTGTTCTGGAGCCGGATATTCTCACAGTGATGGGGACAAGTAAGACACAAGGTGGACCGGGAACCCGATGAGCCAGCCCTGCCTGAGCCTGACTGATTTAGCCTGAAATTGCCCAGGCTGGTCTCAAACCCATGGGCTCAGGCAATCCTCTCGCCTCGGCCTCCTAAAGTGCTGGGATTATAAGCATAAGCCACCATGCCTGACTGCTTTGTTACTGCATTGAATGCTACTGCACTGCAGCCTGGGTGACAAGAGTGAGATTCCAACTCAAAAAAACCCACAAAAAAACAAAAAAACAAAAAAGCTGGGTGCAGTGGCTCACGCCTGTAATCCCAGCACTTTGGGAGGCAGAGGCGAGAGGATTGCCTGAGCCCAGGAGTTTGAGACCTGCCTGGGCAACTTGGCGAGACCTCATCTCTACCATAAATCAAAAAAACTCTCCAGGCATGGTGCCACATGCCTGTAGTTCCAGTTACTTGGAAGGCAGAGGCGGAAGGATCTCCTGAACCCAAGAGGTCGAGGTTGCGGTGGCAGTGATGGTGCACCACTGCACTCCAGCCTGGGCGACAGAGTGAGACTCTGGATAAGTAAATAATAACTAACATAAATAACATAAAATAAAACAAAACGGAAGATCAGTCAGAAAACCGGAGGCAGAAGGGTATGACCCAGATTCACAAGAGGCACCACCAAGGAGGCATCCCAGACTTGGAGAGAGCAAGCTAAACTGGGGAGAAAAAGGCAACTTCAGGAAAAGTAGGTCTTTGAGGTATGGGAGTCTTTTATGGGGCACCAGCGTGTTCACGGTCCTAAGCACTCTCTGGTTGGAAATCCGCCATCCAGCCTATTCCAGCGGACCTTCACCCATCCAGACCTGGTATCTGCCTGCCAGTGACTTTTCTGTTGTGTAGGCAGATTCTGGAGTCGATTTCCGTGCAGAAAACATCGCTGAGATCTTCCTGTTGGGGCTTGTGTTGCCTTTACTAATTTCTCTAAGACAGTAGTTGGGATGAAACCAAGATGCCTTCAGAGTTGGGGCCTGTGCAGAGGGTTGCGCTGATGGTGGGTACCTGCTTGCATTTTCAGGAATTGTGGGGGTGGCAGTGCTTGGCTTGGTGAGTAAGAGAAAGGTCTATGAACTTGCAACCACAGGGTCAGCTCAAACTGATTAACCGTTGCTTAAGCGGCAACAGACGGTGCAGAGCCAAGATTGCAAGTCACGCAGCCCAGCCCACTCAACGGGAAACAGCCTTAACCTCCTAATTGTTAACACCGCCAGCCTGGCATGCTGGCTGTGTTGGCCTCACCTGAGACTGATTAGGAATGCCATAAAAGCTTGACCCACCCCCCCC